TTTTTTTTTTTTTATACAACTGTGGGGGAACAAATGCTTAGAGCTTCCTATTCTAGTTTTGCTGATTTCACTCAGTATATGGAATTAAAAGAAGGAAGAGGCCTAAGGTAGAGGAATTTTCTAGGTACAGTAGTCCCCCCTTAACCATGAGGGATATATATATATATATATTCCAAAACCCACAGTGGACACCTGAAACTGCTGATAGTACTGAACCTGATTGCTGTTAGTTGGAACATGTTTCTGTTCATGTCTTCCACCCACAAATGTAATGCCTTTTCTATCTTCACTAAGCACTTATCATAGGCTGTGACTGTAACTTTTGCAGTGTGAGGTGCAACAGCAAAACTAGCACAAATTTCTTTTTCCTTCTTCACAATTTCATGGATAAAATATTTGTTCTTAACTGTAGATCTTAGCAACTTTATTGTATGATTTTTTTTCTTTATTGAGAACTTGCACCTTTTCACTTAAAGGAAGCACTTTTGACTTCTCTTTGGTATATCTAAATGGCCAGCATTACAATTCTTGCACTTTGGGGGCCATTATTAAGTTATTATTAAAGGTTATTTGAACATGAGCACTGCAATACTATGACAGTTAATCTGATAACCAAGGTGGCTACTAAGTGACTAACAGGTGGGTACTATATGTGGCATGGATACACTGGACAAAGGGATGATTTACCTCCTGGGCAGTACAAAGCAGGATGGTGCAAGATTTCATCATAGTACTCAGAAGAACATGGAATTTAAAAACTTATAAATTGCGGGCCAGCCCATGGCTCACTTGGGAGAGTGCTGATAACACCAAGGCCACGGTTTTGGATCCTGTATAGGGATGGTTGGTTGGCTCACTTGCTGAGCGTGGTGCTGACAACACCGAGCCAAGGGTTGAGATCCCCTTACGGGTCATCTTTTAAAAATAAATAAATAAATAAATAAAAACTTATAAATTGCTTATTTCTGGAATTTTCCATTTAATATTTTCAGACCATGGTTGACCATGGGTAACAGAAACCACACAAAGCAAAATCATGGATAAGGGTACTACTGTAATAACAGTATAAATGCCTGAATTCTTTACCTCTATGAATCATTATTATTTTAATAGCTAGTGCCATCATGCTAAGCCCTTTAGCAAGGATAAAGACTTAAAACAGTACAATTCAGCTGTATGTTCACGAAGTGAATTCCAAAAAACACTAGTTCTATGGAAAGTTATAGCTATTGCATGAAATGGGGAGAGGGAATGAGTTCTATGGTCAAATTTTTGAAACGCTAGGATAAACAGTTTATTTTGGGGCTTCTGAGAACATTTCATGTGCATCAGAAATTTTCTAAGAGATTAATAGTATTAATATTTCCTGTAAGTATTTGATCATACACCTTTGGAGGAACTGAATCTGGGAATTGTAGGAACAAATTGATTAGAATTGTTCTAGCACAATGGCTCAATTTTTTAAAGATTTATGTAGAATTTCTATTGCCAGCCCATTCCATTGTCTATACCAAAAAAAAGCCTCTCAAAAACTCACCTTAAGAAGTTAAGAAGTAAATAAGAAATAAGTGAGGACCAAATGAGATAATGTATATCACAGTATGTAACATAAGACACTATTTGAATGTAAATTTTTAAAATTAAACTTTTATTTTGAGATAATTATAAATAGAGTTCCCATATATCTTTTACCTAGTTGCCTCCAATGGTAATGTCTTGCAAAAGTTCGGTACAATATCACAACCAAAATACTGACATTGATATAGTACAGATTAAAATGTTTAAGTTGGAGGAACAGTGTTACGTGTGCAGTAATATAAATTACTGGATTATAAAGTGCTATAACTTGTTAGTATCCTTTCTAGAATTTTAAAGATTTAGACATGAGGTTAACATAATCTTGAGATCAAAACCTGATAGGGAAATTAAAGGAAAATTACAGACCAATCCCTCATGAACATAAATGCTCAAATTTTTAAATAATAGCAAATCAAATTCAGCAATATATAAAAATACATCACAACTAAGAAGTGTTTATTCCAGGAAAGCAGTACTTATTATACTTTAACACTTGGATTCAATCAATTCAATTTACCACATTAATAGAACAGGAGTAAACTCATATGATCATCTTGACTGATTGACAGATGCAGAAAAAAGCATTTGATACAATTCAACACTTATTTATGATAACTCTTAAAGACTATTTAACACTTGGATTCAATCAATTCAATTTACCACATTAATAGAACAGGAGTAAACTCATATTATCATCTTGACTGATTGACAGATGCAGAAAAAAGCATTTGATACAATTCAACACTTATTTATGATAACTCTTAAAGACTCGGTATTAAAGAGAATTTACTTACTATGATTAACAGGTTTACAAAAAACCTGGAGAAAACCTTATGCTAAATCGTGACTTAGTGAAAGCTTTCCTTAAGAATCAAAAAGCAGAAAATGATGCCTGTTATAATTTCTATTTGACACTATACTGGAGCTTCTAGCCAGTGCAGTAAATAAAGAAAAATAAAGGCATAAGAATTGGAAAGGAAGGAATTAAACTGTCTTTATTTGCAGATGACATGATTGGGATGTAAAAAATGTCAAGAGATTCTATAAACTATTAGCATTAATACATGAATTTAGCACTGTTGTTGACACAAAGTCAATAAAAAATAGTACAATAGTATACAGTATATACCAGAAATAAACAGAAAATGAAATTTAAAAATAAGATTATCACATACAAAGCAGAAAAAGAAATACTTAAGATAAATCTAAGGAAAGATGTGGAAGACCACTATAGTGAAAACTACAAAACATTTTTAAGAAAAAATAGAGAAGACCTAAATAAATGGAGGGACAGATCATATTTATAGATTGGAAAACGCAGTATTATACAGAAATCAGTTCAGTCCAAATTTGTCTAAGTGGAATTCCAACCAGAATTCCAGCACACCACCCCTCTTTTTTTTTTTCCCTTGGGTGCAGGAGTGCAAGTTGATTTTGAAATTTATATGGAAATGTAAAGGGCCAGGAATAGCTAAGGCTATTTTAAAGAAGAACAAAGCTGGACAACATCCACTACCAGAGAAGATTTCAAGCCGGAGTTGCCCAAAGCAGTGAAATATTTGTGCAAGTACAGACAACCAGACTAATGAAATAGAACAGAGACTCCAGAAACAGTCCATACATATACTCTTACATATACAAAATTACAATGGCTTCTCCACCAGAAAGATTAAAATGAAAAGACAGACAATATTTCAATAAGGATGGATGAAATTCAAACTTTTATGCATTGCTGGTGAAAAGGTAAATTGTTACAACTACTTTGGAAAACTGGAAGTAACTACTAAAGCTGAACAAATGCATATTTTATGTCACAGAAATTCCACTTCTAAGTACAAACCCAACAGATATGTATAAGTATTTTCATTTAAAGAAATACACAAAAATGTTCATAGCAACAATATTCACAATAGTGTAAAATTTGAAACCACTGAAATATCCATCAAAAGTGGAATGAATACAATTGTAGAATATTCATACATTGGAATAGTGTTACACAGCAATAGACTGGAAGATTTACAGCTACATGCAACAATATGAAAGATTCTCACACACATAATGACAAAAGGAGCCCAAAACAAAAGAATATATGTATGATTTTGTTTATTTAAAATTTGAAAAAAAGGCAAAACTAATATTTAATGTTATAAGTCTGGACAGTTGGGCTGGGGGTATCCTGAAGAGGTTATGGGAGGTCTTCTGGGGGAAAGTAACATAACATATGTTACTTGGTTTGGATACTGGTTACCAGGAATATGTTCACTTTGTGAAAACTCACTGAGTCATATACTTTGTGCATTTTTCTATATGTAGGTTATATTTCAACAAAATGTTTAAGGAAAAATTACCAAATTATTCAGATTATTATCATTCATTTTTTCCTACAGCAACTTTTGTTTTTAACTGTGTGGACAGAAACTATGACTCTCCCGTGTAGACTGAATTACTTAAATACTCTTTTGATATCTTATATAATTTGGTCTCTTGCATCAAAGAACCCCTTTGAAAATCAAGATTTAATGACTTTCTGCTTCAGGAAAATTTGATAAAACAGTTTAATTTAGGGAATTTGAAAAAAAATTAGCTTCTCCCAGCATGATGTGGGCTTCATTGTACAGCTGGGCAGAGATCATGATGAGGAAACTAGAGATTCTTTCCTAATTCCATTTGGAATTGTGAGTGAGAGTCACCCAGTTTTCTGGAACAAAAGAGAATAGAACATTCATCTAAGAAGTTAACCTCTTGCTAATTAATGATGTTACTGAATGGTATCTTTGTCAAGGGATAATAATCTAGGTCAAAGGCTGAGAGGCCTGAAACAAGGATTTAAAAACGGGAGTCATAGGGCTTCAGCAAAAAGATATTTGCTAGAAGTGAGGCAAGGTTCAAAAGGGGAACACCAAGATTTCCGGCCAGGAATTATCAGCTGGCCATAATAACCTGCTCAGAGAATACACAGGGCATAGGGTGCATTTTGGTGAATGATAGAATTTTTCCATTATTTAAAATTATGTGGTAATCTCTTTACATTCCCCTTTACCATTAATAACTTCAAAGAGCTTTAAAATATAAAGATGGCTATCATTATATTTGATACTTGGATGGAAAAGACAGGATACAGGATAACTATGAAAAATTCCCAGAATATTGGTTATGAATTAACTTCCTGCTGTGTTTTCCTAAATGAGTAGACAGATAGGAATGGAGGATATCGGTATCCCCATCATACAGTATCATAATTCCTGTTAACATGGTATGGTCTCATTATTTAGTTAAAAGTGACTGCTCATAACAAATAAATATTGTACCTACCTCACCAAATTGGGGTGAGGATTAAATTAGTTAATATCTACAACTTAGAATAGTGTCTGGCCCATAGTAAACATTTAATAAATATTAGCCATTATTATTATTAGGAGGCACATCAGTATACTTAGATGGTAACAAGATATAGTCACGTGTTGCTTAATGATGGGGATACCGATTCTGAAAAATGTGTCGTTACGTGATTTTGTCATTGTGCTAACGTCACAAAGTGTACTTGCACAAACCTAGATGGTATAGCCTACTACACACCTAGTCTATATGGTATAGCTATTATAATTTTGTGGGACCATTGTTGTATATGCAGTCCATCATTGACTGAAATCTTGTTATGCAGAGCATGACTGTATAGTGAGTGATAGGTCAATTAGTTATTCTTATCTAATATTGTATTAATAGTGCATATTCCTTATGCATTAGGAATGAAGATTCGAAAGTGGCCTATGCACCTTTTGGAATCAATCAATTTGGAACTCTGTCAGGGTGGGGGAAGAAGAATGGAATTATCTTACTGGTAAGTAATTGTCAGTCCTGGTTTTCAGGTTTAGAACTACACTGGTGGTATGGCTTTGAGTCCTTCAGTGCCACCTTGAAGACTGGGATCTATGGTGATAATGTCAGAGAGAAGATGACAGTTGGTCCCTTTGGCTGCAAAGAACATTTCAAAAAAAAAAGTACAAGATAATCTGTCACTGTAGAGACTCACCATATTTTCATATCTTATTAAAACTTCCTTGTTTCATAGGAGTTCCACAGAGAAATGAATTCTGTTACAATCCTGAGAGGTCCCTTGCCTAATCTAGAAAGAATAGAAATTGTATGCCCAAATATCGAAATATTTAGTGATATTAGATCAGCGGTTTTTAAAAAGGAAGTTCATGTTGATATAATATATTTTTAAAGAACTTCTATTTTTCTATTTTGTAAAGTTGAAATTAACTGTTAGATTCAGTCTAGGCTTCTGATCTGTCTTCTTTGTAATGCTACATTGTAAAATGACTCCAGCAGCTTCTAAACAAAAACAAATCATCTACCAAACCTGAAATCTCATGTGAAATACTTTGATATAGCACAGAATTCTTTTGAGAAATGACATATCTATGTGTATAAATAAAGGGTTATATAAGTTTATGTGTTGGTTAATTTTAATAGTAGCACTGATGATGATAATAAACTCTTTCCCCAAAAAACTTATGAAAAGAACAATGTCCTTTTTGCATTTTGCAAAATGGCGACTATAGTAATCACTGATTATCAGTTTTCATGTTAACACATTAACACAATTCCAACTTGTGTATCAATGCTGTACTATTTGTCAAGGCTTAATTCTTTTTTTTTTTAAAGGCACTATTTTTACAAAGAAAGCAATTCAAATTAACCAACCATGCCCTACAAATATAAATAGAAATGATACTGAGTATTGATTAAAACAAAAAGCACTTTTAAAAAAACAGCATTAATTCTTACCAACTCCAGAGGCTATCGATTCTGCATCAATGTCACTAGCTCTTTTTCTTGCCACTTCAGCTAGTGCCAATTCACCCTTATCTAGTGCAAGGTAATGGATATCCTTTGGAAATAAAGCAAAACAAAAGATTAATCCAAAATGAATTTTGGTCAAGTTACAAAGGAGATTTTGATAGAAAGAAACTTATTGTCAGATTACAAAGTAGAGATGGCCAGTGAATATTCTTTTATATTTTAAATTTCTCAGTTTTCTTTTCCAGTACAAGCAAATTTTTCTGAATTGGAGACCACAGCTATAACCAAAGGGAATTATTTAAATAAATTATTTTAGGCCTTAAGGGAAAAATACAAGTTTTTAATATAGTGATTAACCTACTCAGTTCTGTCAGGGAATAAAAACCTTAACTGTTATTTTCTTTGGTAGGACTTTACTGTCTGAGGGAGCTTCTTCAAAATTTAATTTGTACATCACATTAGGCTAAGCACTACAGAAGGAACGCTACACAGATTTGTCTTTGATTTTTATGTGTCTAGCACATATTTGTTAATATTACTAATACTACTATTTTGAACTCACTCAGCCAAGAAATAATTAGTACCAAGTGCTGGGCACTGTTCTAGGGTATAGAGATCAATTACAGTTCTGTCTCTCAAGAAGCTTTGAACCCAGTGGAGAGGCAGACCACTGTAAACCAATAGTTATATAAAAGTGTGTGATAGATGTTATGGCAGATATTTGCACAGAATGCTATGGAGCCAAAGAAGAGGAATAATCTTTGATACGAGTCGCGAAAGATGAATAAGAATTACACTTGGTGGAAAAACAGAAAAGGCAACAGAGAATGAATGACATCTGGTGCATATATGCAGACAAAATTGAGAAAACACAGCTCTGTCACATAATGACAGGTCTTTCAATACGGAAGGAATGTTGTTTGTATGGGAAAAAGCAGTGGAAAATAATATTGAACAAATAGGTAGAGCCACTAAAAAGGACTGTTTGGCACACAGATTGATTGTTGGAATGAAACCTTATGACAATAAAAATGGGAAACGAATATAAATAGCCAATTTACAATGAAGAAATAAATATAAATGGCCTATAATCATGAAAAGATATTTTATCTTGTTTTTCAAATAAACACAAATTGAAAAAATGTAATTTCAATTGGACAAGCTTTTAAAAGTTAATAATACTCACTGGTTGCAAAGTTTAGGGAAAACAGGCATTTGCATTTACTGGGAATATAATTGGCTAGGACTTTATAGAGCCGGGTCAGCAAATTATGGCCCATAAGCCAAATCTAGCCTGCTTTTTGTACAGTCTTCAAATTAGGAATGGTTTTTACATTTAAATGGTTGGAAGAACCATGCTCAACCACTATTATTGAACTCTGTATGGCTTTGGAGTTAGTTTTTGCTGCAGACTTGAAAATGTTTCAAGCTAAAATTACAAGGAAAACTGTGAATAAAGTAATTTCTATGAGAACTAGCATTATCTGAATTGGATAATTCAGTGTCAGCAAGTAAGTGTCAGGCTGCGTTATATACATCCTGTACTGTAAAAAAAAAAAAAAAAAAAGTGATATCTCCATTCCCATTTTCTGATTTCAAACTACAGCACTATTTTTCAGACCTCAATGAAAGGAAATGCAAAGGAAATTTCCGTATTTCAAAATCCATTTAGAACTGTGCAATTGAGGAACTTTAATTGAAAGTGATTTGCAATGTAATGACATGCTAAAAGGCATTCTAGCCTTTTAGCTAATAGAATTCTAAAAATACCTTCAATCTGTTAATATACTCAATTAAAACCGTATGTTCATGGATTGATATCAGTATTTGGCAGTATCTATCTATGTGGAAAGACATTTGGAAAAGTGAAATAGGTAAAATCTTGTTGTAGGTCAGTATTAACAGATAAACATTTGCAATAGATTTTGATGATAGGAAACACCAGCTTTCAAGTCCAATTAAGTGAAATGTTATTCCCCCCAAAAAAGAATTCCATTCTTCACATTTGTAGACCTGTACTTAAAAAAATTGTATGCAATAAATTATCATACTTTAAATTTCATCAATAAAGATTTATGGAAATTTGTTTTCTTTCATTATATAAATACCTACACAATAATCTCAGTTTTGCCTCTTGGCCTACAAGACTATAATATTTGCTCTCTGGCTCTTAACAGAAAAAAATTGGCTGGCTCCATATTTTAATAATATATCATAATTAAAAATTTGCATATACTTTTGAGAAACCTTTGTAAGGAAATGATGGGACAATGTATGTCCAAGACTGGTGATTAAAGCATCCTCTATAACAATAAAAACTTGCAAGCAACTTAAATGTACATCAATTGAAATAATCCTGTGGTTTTTCTCTTCTAATCCAAGAGTAGCATGATACTTTCATAATAGATCCTTATATTTGATGAAGAAATTAGTAATAATTAAAAAATATATATCACTGTGTTCAATTTGCCCATACTTAAGATTTTTGCATCTATGTTCTTAATTAAGAATAGTCTGTGACTTTCTTTACTTGGACTGACCTTGACTGGTTTCAAGGTTATACTAGCCTTATAAAATGGATTAGATGGCTTTCTCTATTTTCTGTTCTCTGGCAAAATTTGTATTTAATTGTTCACTGATCATTAGCAAAAGATGTACAATACATTTGAGAATAAATTACAAACCATTGCTTAAGGACATAAATGAACACCTTATTAAAATACAGACATATGCTTGCTTATGGCTGGGAAGACTATACATCACAAAGATATTAATTCTGACCCCCAAATAGTCTGCAAAATTCAGTGGGACTCCAATAAAAACCTCTTCAAGGTTTTTCATGGAACTTGACAAGTTTATCTTAAATTTTTTATATCAAAACAAATGCTCAAGAATATCCAAGACTTATTCTAGTTAATAAGACTACATAGCACTGGTACACAGGCATATAAATCAAAGAAAAAGAAACACACCCATACATATATGGTTTCATTTGTAGGTTACTAGTGTGAGTACTTTATATTTAGCAGTGCTGTTTAAGTGGTACACAAATTATTTATGAAACATTTTCTCTGTCTCTCTTTCTCATTATTCTTCCTTAGTTCTGTGATTTCTTCTCTTTATATTTTATTATTATAGGGAATTGGGGCCATTAATTTGAAGAGGGTAAACCTCAATAGTTCTTACCTTTTTTTTTTTTTTTAAAAGATGACCGGTAAGGGGATCTCAACCCTTGGCTTGGTGTTGTCAGCACCACGCTCAGCCAGTGAGCAAACCGGCCATCCCTATATAGGATCCGAACCCGTGGCCTTGGTGTTATCAGCACCGCACTCTACCGAGTGAGCCACGGGCCGGCCATAAACCTCAATAGTTCTTAAATTTATACTGTATCTCTACCATGAAGCTTTTCTTTTCATAATCTTCTGTTTGAAAACATACTATAGAGTCTATTTACTTGCTGATAAACTTGTAGGCCTCCTCACTATTCATTTATATCTGAATGTGGCCTTCAGCAAAATGCAGTAGAGAGTAAATCTCTATAATTCCATGCTCTTCAGTAGTCTGACAGATTTCATAAATCTTTAGGGTCTGGGGCAAGATATAGCGAGTGTCTGTATCACCTCCCAATTGGCTATCTTCTGGCTTCATTTGATTTTTTAACTTTTAGATAGTTTTAGCTTTGGAACTTATCTTAAATGCTAGATTTATACCATTAAATGTATTCACAAATGCTATAGTTTTAATGTCGCCACCAAAACTCGTGTTGAAACTTAATTGCAATGTAATGGTATTGGGAGGTGGGGTCTTTAAAAGGTGATTAGGTGAATGGATTAATGCCATTATTGCAGGAGTGGGTTAGTTATAACAAGACTGGGTTTGTTATAAAAGCAAGTTTGGCCCAAATGTCTCTCTCTGCTCGCTTTCATCTTCTACCCTTCTGCTATAGGATGACCCTTGCCGGATGCTGGCAGCCTTCAGAACTATGAGCCAGATAAGTCTCTTTTCTTTATAAATTACCCAGTCTGTAGTATTCTATTATAGCAGCAGAAAATGAACTAAGACTACAGACCTCTGACAAACAAACATTTCCTCTCTGGGAAATGGTCATATTCTAAATAAATCAAGAAAATAAAAACTACTTGGCTGTATATTTCATTTTCATGTTCTTACCTGAGGACACATACAGGAATAAAGGACATGCAGTAAAACTGGTTGAGACTAAGGCTAAGGCACTGTTAAGTCATACTACATTAAAGAGATTATGAGTGAGAGGCCACCACCAGGGTAATTTTACTCATCCTAACTTCACATTTAATCAATGGTTATGAATCAAGAATCATTTAATAAATAATTACGGAAAGTTTACTACGTGTCAGACACAGACATAAATTTACCATGAAGCTAATGAAATTTAAGCTTCATTACCTCGTACTTTATAGGTCTTTTCCAGTAACTAATTCTGTATTTGAAAATTTAAATTCTTTTATTCTTTTTCTGAAGTATTCCTCAAGTTGTATAAGCTTCAGGCTCTATATAACATGGATCTACTCCTGGCCACATGTCTAGCCATCAAGTTTCTCACAAACTAATGGACTGTGTTATCAATACTTTGGTTGTTTAGAATCGTGTGTCCAGAACACCCAACTATATGCTGCCTACAAGAGACTCACTTCACCTCTACGGACTCATATAGACTAAAAGTGAAGAGACTATATATATATATTTCATGCAGATGGAAACCAAAAGAAAGTGGGGGTAGCAATACTTAAATCAGAAAAAATAGACTTTAAGTCAGAAAGTGTAAAAAGACAAGATTATGATATAATGGTAAAGGGGTTAATTCATCAAGAAGTTACAATAATTATAACTAAATATATACCCAATATAAGAGCACCTAAATAGATAAAGCTAATATTAATAGATCCGAAGGGAAAGAAAGACTGCAATGCCATAACAGTAGGAGACTTCCATATCCCCCTTTCAACACTGAACAGATTATCTGGACAGAAAAGCAATAAAGAAACATTAAAATTTAACTACACTTTAGACCAAATGGACTTAACAGATATTTAAAGAACATTCCATCCAATAGC